GACTTCAATCTAGCTCTATTTTCACTGTTCAAAGTATAGTACTTCAAAAAAAAAATCAATGGCAGAAATACAAAAGAGTGAAGAACTGGCTTAAAAGCAAGTAATTAAAAAATAAAAAGCTCTGGAAGGTGTGAACCCAAGGCTATTAGGTTGGGGTGGAGGAATCCAGAAGGAGCAGAGAGAGAGAAAAGCCTGAGTTGTTGGAGATGGAAGCAGGATTAGGGAGACTCAGGAGATAGTGCTAGAGAGCAATGATAGATATATGACAAATGAGGGGAGTACATTTGAGGCAATTGTCTTTAGTTCTCTCCAATATGTGTAGGGAAGGAAGGGGGGTGGGGGCATGGCATGATACTAGTTCATGAATACCTCCTCCAAAAGCCTTTCTATTGCTTTCCCTAGATGTTGCCCTCTCCTCTTCCTACTTCATTCTCTTAAATACTATTCCTTACCCTTCTACCCTCAACTCACTCCTCATTCTTTCCTGTCCCTGTGTTCTATGTGCAGCGAATCTCCAGGAGTAGGCTAGGGACACCTTGTAACAGGGTGATCACTTCTGGATCTGTGCATTTGTATAACTGTGTGGAAATGTTTGTCTTTGTGTATCTGTTCATATGTAAGTATAAGGAAGTAAAGAAATCTTCCCAGGAATGAAATTGATTCCCCCTCTCAAGACCACTCCAAACAAAAGCTAAAATAAAGATTTTGAATCACCCAGGGTCACAGTTTATGAGTCACCCTTCATTCTGCCCATCCCTCAATGTCCCTGTTATTAATCCTTCACAGCATTTTTCACATTCGTTCCTTTCTCTCCATTCAGAGAGTCATCACTCTGGCACATGTTATCATCACCTCTTGCCTTGGACTACTCTAAAAACCTACTAATTAGTCTCCCTGTATCCAGTCTGTCTTTTTTTCCCCCAATCAAACTCCATACAGTTCTCAAACTGATATTCTTAAATCATAGATCTCTCACGTAATTCCTCTCCTCAAAATGTTCAATGTCCATTCCCTCTAAGATAAAACACAAGACTTTTAGCCTGGAATTTAGAGCTTCCACCTACCTTACTAGTCTTATTTCAGATTACTCCCCTTCACATACTCTTTTCCAATTAGCTTCCTATATGTACCATTCCTCACAGGGCAGCTAGATGGCATAGTGAATAAAGCATAAGGACCTAAGTTCAACTCTGACCTCAGATACTTATTAGCTGTGTGATCCTGGGTAAGTCACTTAACCCTGTTTGCCTCAGTTTCTCATCTGTAAAATGAGCTAGAGAAGGAAATGACAAACCACTCTAGCATCTTTACAAAAAAAAAAAACCCAAATGGGGTCACGGAGAGTTGGACACAACTAAAAATATTTAACACCATTCTCCTACCTCTGTGCTTTTGCACAACCTGTCCTCTGTGTTTGCTATGCACTGACTCTTTTACCTTCACATGCAAGTGTCTTTCTCTTCCTTAAAATAAAGTTTCTACATACCGTTTTCCCTGAGTTTCACAGTTGTTACTGATCTCTTCCTCTTAAAATTACTTTGCATTGCTTTATATATGCTTTTCATTTAACTATCTGTATACAAAGGCTATCTCTCCTGGAGAATGTAATCTCTTTTAAGACAGGGGCTCCTTTATTTTTGCCTTTGTATTCCTACCCCTTCTGATAGTGCCTTGCACAAAGTAGGTATTTGATTAATATGTTGTTTACTAGAATTAAACTGAATTGAAAGATTGGTTGTACTTGTGATGTGTATTTTACACTGAGAGTTCTTGTCCAGGTCTGTGTTGAACTAGTTAGCCTCTGGGGTTCATCTAACTGTGTGATTTTGTCAGTCTCTGATAAGGGTTTGAGTTACCTATAAATTCAATATAAGCCAGAAATGTGGTGAGATTGAAAAAAAAGTCACATGCATTCTTAGCATGCATTCACAGTAGAGTTCAGAATGAGAAAGGAGTAGAAATTGGTACAGAATCACCATTCTGAAAATTGAAAAGAACCTAAAGAAATTATATTGTCTAGCTTCCCAGGCTCTTGCCTTCAGGTAAGTAAGGCATTACCATCTCACCTTTAGAGATGAAGTACCTAGGGCCCAGTAACTTGCTAAAGGTCATAGAAGCTAGTAAATGATGGGCTGAAAGAGCCCAGTTCTCTATCTTGCCTCAGAATACAGAGTTCTTTCCACTACACCATGCTGCCTGTCTCCATCTAAGAATTAATAGGATGTCACATTGAGTCTTTTTGTGAATGTTTAGTAAGAGAGGCATTTAACTTGGTTGACAAGATCATGAATCCCATGGTGCCAAGGTGGGGGTTTGATTTCTTTACACATTAGGACACACTCTGTCCCCCACCACCACCCATAGGAAGAAAAAAGACTTCACCATATATCTTAACTCTCATTTCAGAAACTGAATTTTGGGGTCAAGTGACAATATTCTCTCATTTTCCCTGAAAAATCTTCAGTCCCCCAAGGGAGCAGAAAAAACTGTTTCTGCTTGAAAAGATTTGCAGCTGCTCATGAGACCATTAGCTTGCCCTCTGCAGAAAAATCTGAGGGGCATGTTTTAATCTGCCTGTTATTGAGACCCAGCTGCAGGTACATGGAAGTACACCTTGTTTGGAGTATCTGCTTCCTTCCTTGATTATTTGCATAGGAGCAAAAAGTTTTCCTCCAACTGGGAGAGAAATATCTGTCTCTTATTTCTAGCTAGGAAGAAAATTGGTAGATGCTGAGTTGGCTCTCTGGAGGAGCAGATGTAGAGTTCACCTGGCTAACAATTGAAAGCTAGGCAGCTGCTTAGAAGCCTAGCAAAGGTTAATTTATATGCATGCATCTCCCACAAAGAAGCTCCCTTTATGACTCTGGAAAGAAACAACTTTCTGGCTGGAAATGAGTTAGCACAAAAACATTACCTTTGCTTCCCTGCCTTTCCTATCCCTCACTCCCCCACACACCAATAAACAAAATGTAGAGCCTTTCATTTGCCCTAAGGGATACTAAAATCCTTACTGTAGCATGAACTGTGTAAGTTTCTAAATAGAAAATCCATTATTTACATAAGGTCAAGATCTATAGACCTGCTGTTTGGTGGCCAGGGACATGGACTACTGGTTCATGACGTCCCAGAGGTTTCCTCTCAGTGGTTCAACTGTTTCCTCAAAACCAGACAGATCCCTCTGCAAGACTTGTGAAGTCTTCTAGGCCACTACAACAGGAAGAAATCAATCAATCAGAAAGCACCTAATAAGTGCCTGCTATGTGCCAAGGACTGTTTAAAAGAAGGGGGGGGGAATGAGAGAGAGAGAGAGAGAGAGAATGAGAGAGAGAGAGAGAGAGAGAACAAAACCACAATAATCCTTGCTCTCAAAGAACTTATATTCTATTGGGGAAATATAAGTAGATATAATTACATTTAGACTTAATATATATACAATAAATAGATATATACAGAATAAATAAGCATATCAAAGAGGCAATTCTCATTCTACTCAAGAATTATTTTTCTCCTAGGGAATACCTGAACTACTGAGAGAATATGGTTTATGGATCCATTTGTTTAGACCTATACAGTTTAGAAAACTATGATTATAATTTGAATATAATTTGAAAGACAAAAGAGAGTAAGAAGCTTGAGTAGAACATGTGAAAGAAGGTACCTAGAAAGACAGATAAATGCAGATAGTACAGTGGAAGGAGAACTGGCTCTGGAGTAAAAGAACCTCAGTTCACATCCCATCTCTGATGAAGGCTACCCTGTGTGACTTTGGAGAAGTCACTTAACCACTCTTAGGTTGTAAGTCCAGCTGCAGGTGGAGGCAAGATCACCTAAATACTCTGTCTCACAAACCACAGTTTCCTAATCTGTAAAATGAGGAGATTGAACTAGAAGGCTTCTAAGGTAGTTCCCGTCTAGCTCTAAAGCTATAAACCTATTTACTGCCCAATTTTCAAGCAGTTTGAATTTTTTCCCCTGAGAATAAAACTGGATTGCTTTCAATATTTTCTCAGTTTTAAAAGTTGTGAGCAGGCTGTACTTCAAAAATAATACAGTGAGAAGAGTGAACAAAAAGTTTCATGGTGAAAGGAACTGAATGTCAAACCCAAAGACTAATTCAAGTTCTGGGTCTAACCAATTAATATTATAACTACAGCGAGTCACTCTGAACCTCACTTTTTTATCTTTGAAATGGACATAATATTTATAGTTACCTGTTCTTAGTAATTCAAAGAGTTATTTGGAAACTTAAATGAAATAACCTTTGTGCACTCCAATAATGCCCTCTAGAGATATAAATATAAGATATCCAGAGTGACCTCTTAGATGTTTCCTATTTCATCCAGTTCCCCCTCCCTGGAGCTAGAGGGAGAGGACAGGGAAACAAAGATGTTTCTTATCTCTGCCCCATGTCGTGGCAGGATTCATAAGGAGCCAGAGTAAGTATGCTTTAAGAGAAGGACCTCATGCCCTCAAATTTGCCCTCCGCATCTGAAATTCCAATAATAAACTAAGACAAACATTTGGTTTTATAAAATAACAACCATGAGAGGGTTAAAGGGCATATGTATAGATATAGATATGTGTATATATTGATATATAGATATACATTTATGTATGTATATGAATGACTATTCATGGTCACATATACATATGTGTGTATGTATATGTGTATCATACACATATATGCCTTGTCTTCCAAATTAGGCTATGAATTCCTTCAGGGATGAGATCAGGTATTATAGTTTTCAATTTCCCTCAGTGCTGACCCAATGCCGTGCATGCTGTCCACACTCTGCATATTTACCGATTAGCTTGTGTTTTATAGAAAACTGTGTTGCTATGTTATGCCAATTCTAGACTATAAACAGAAAGGGAACAAGGACACAGTGTCATCTGAATGTATTTTCTGTCTCAATACTTACTCCAGTGTTCTGCACACAGTAGTTGCTTTAAGAGATTGTGTCTTTTTCTTCCTCTTCTTCTTCCTCATCTTCCTCTCTTCTTCTTCTTCTTCTTCTTCTTGAAGTGCTATTCAAGCAGAGATGAAATGACCACTTTCAGAGACTTGTTAAAGAGTAGATTCCTTTTATGCATGCCTTAGAATAAATGAATAATGAGGTCCTTTCAAATTTTCATATTCTGTTATTCTAAAATATATGCACTTTCATTATTATTAACTGATTGATACCGGCTAATTCTGCTAGCCCTAAAAAGCTTCCACAGTGGCAGTATAGCTGCTACTACACAGCAGATAATATCCTATTACATATCCTATACACACACACACACACCACTTTCATGGGAATGGACAGAAGATTTCCGCAGGTAGAGACAAAAGGTAAATCAATGGGACTGAACTGGAGGATTCATATGAAGGGATAGAGGAAGGTAAATCAGGAAAGGCAGGCTGAGGCCAGAATGTGGAAACTCTTGAATGTCAATGCCTCTGACACTATGATGAACACCCAGGACTAGTGTATCCCACTGTGACAAGGACATTGTCTATTAACTGTCTCCATCATAAACTAGGGTTCAGCCATATACTCACAAACAGAAATTACCCATACTATTAAAAGCAAAAGAGAACAGAGAACATTGATACTGGGGACTTTGGGGGGAAATATCTCATCCTTTCTTCCAATTTAGAGTTTAATAAAACCCCAGTCACGTTTTATCAAGCATTTTTGTCCCACTAGTATTGAAACTAGAATGCCTTCAAAGAGCAAATAATACTTTTAATAAGTACCATTTCATATTGGAATGCCTTATAATGCTCCCTTTATATAAGCCTTATTAATTGTGACTGAAGATATTGCAAACCCAAATGTTTCAAAAAATCTATGAAATTTGAATACAGTTTCAAGTTGTGAAAAAAAAAAAGATATTTTCCCTTCCCTAAAATAAAAACAATGATGCTTTATAGTCTTACTAAGGGGAAAAATCAACTGTAGCAGCACAACTATTAACAAAGAAGATGTGTTCCAATGGTCCCTATGTTGTTAGAAACTTTGTTACTAGACGCAAGAAAGGAGACTTAAGAGACTTGAGGATGCATATGTATATGTGTGTGGAATGGGGGGATATCATTCAAAATTATCATTAAATATTAAGGAAGGTAATATCAAATGTGCCCAAAAAAATCAAACATGCAGTAGGAGTCTTGGGATGTAAGAATATTTTAAAGTAAAGGCAAAGGGAGATGTAGACCCACCTCTGCTCAAGAAAGAAAAACGAAGAGAAGGGATAGGGAAAGGGAAGAGGTGGGACAGTTATCTTTTAGAGCAGAAAAGGCCCCAGTTCCTTAAAAAATATATTGGGAACAATAGGATGTGTGGTCAGCTGGACCCAAGAGCTCCTAGGCACTAGACTCTAGCAATTGAAGCTGGGAAAGCTGAAAACTCAACTTTTCTCATTGTTGTTGTTGTTGTTGTTGTTTTTTGGGGGTTATTGTTTTTCCCTCCTTGAGGGATGGGAGTTAGGAAATGGGGGAAGGGTACAAAGAATCTTTCTCAAATCATTATTTCTCATGCCACCACCGCAGCTATTCTGAAAAGATTAAATCTGATTTACCTGTAAAACTGGCCATATTCCCAGTGTAATTTCAGGGCCCAATTCACCACCACCTATGAAATTATTACCAACTGCTTCCTGAGACCTGAAATTCCTTTAAAATAGGACACAGATTTTTATTCCTCAGTTAGAAACAAAAGGCTTTAGCTTCAGATCTAGTTAATCTAATATATTCATCAAAATTCATTCACACTAAAGTGTTATCAATTTTTGACATATAGAATGGCTGGTATCAGATCTTTTCCAGTTTTTAGAGCAGATAGAACATTAGAAAGGCAAAGGGAAAGGGAGCCTTAACTTGTGAAAGGGCTGCAAGAAAAATGAACTTAATGAGGAGATGAGGAGATTGGAAGTGCTAACTATAAAGTTTAGCAATTTCACAATTGTGTTGAGGGTCAACCCAATTTTCTTTAACTTTATAGTGACAAATAAAATCTATGACCTGTATTATTTTTGTCTCATGCAACCATGTATGTAGAATCATAGATTTAGAGCCAGAAGGGATGTTATAGGTCATCTTATCCAACCCCTTTGTTTATCTGATAATGAAAGCGAGGCATAGAAGAGTTAAGCAATTTATCCAAGGTCACACAGGTAGCCAGTGGCAGAGGCGGGAAATAAGCCCAGGTCCTCTGACTCCATCATCTTCCACATTACTAGGATCATTTGCCATTAAGCTGTATAATATTCACTAACATTACTTCACATGGCTTTGGAAGATTTTTAAAAAAACATGTCAGTGTTATTGATTTTTTAAAAAAGCTCTATTCTCAAGTTTATAAAGTGAGATATTACTGTATCAGCTTCTACAAACATAAATGGATGAAAGTTTGATCCCTTCAGGACCTCAATTTATTTGAGATAATAATATACGTTTTTGTCTCTATTGTACCCACCACCATTTTTTAATAGAGATTACTTGGTCAGTGTAGGGTTGTATTTTAAGAATAAACAAAACTGTACCTTAACACAGCAGTAACTAGCAATGTTCTTCTAGCACTTCAGGTGAAAACCAGGGGTAATCTTCTCTACAATCCACTCATCATAATCAGCCTCATAGAAGTATGGTAGAGGCCACACCCTCTCAGTGTACACTTTGCTGCTCTTCGTCTATATCACACCGCTAACATGTGGGTATTCCCTAAAGGTCTGTCTTCAATCTTCTTTTTTTCTCTCTCTACATTCTCTCAATTTATGCCTTAATCAGTTCCCCTTGGATTCATAAAATCATCATGCAGGTGATTTTATATGGTGAAGTGGATAGAGTACTGGACATAGAGTCAGGAAAACCTAAGTTTAAATTTGCCTTCAGAAACTTACTAGCTATGTAACCCTAGACAAATTAATCCCTCTATACCTCAGTTTCCTTATCTGTAAAATGAGGATAATAATAGTACCTGGCTCACAAGGTTGTTATGAGGATCAAATGACATATTTGTAAAACACCTTACAAACCTTAAAATGCTATATAAATTCTAATTATTGTTGGTGTTTGGGCAGCTAGGTGAATAGACTTCTGGGCCTAGAATCAGGAAGATGATTTCAAATTCAGCATCAGACACTTAACAAGCTATGTGACCTGGGGCAAGTCACTCTACCCAGTTTGCCTCAATTTCTTAATTTATAAAATGAGCTGGAGAAGGAAATGGCAAACCACTCCAATATCTTTGCCAAGAAAAACCCAAAAGGGGTCATGAAGAGCTGGCTACAACTGAATAGCAACAACAACAACAACATTGTTGTTGTTGTTATTATTAGCTACACATGCAGCCTAATCTCTCTCCTAATCTCCAAGTCCATCAATTACATATTGGACATTTCCAATTGCATGTTCTACAAACATCTCAAACTCAACATATCCAAAACTTATTAAAACATATCCAAAATTTATTAAATCTCCCAAACACACTTTCTTCTGAACTTCTTTTTTTTTTGTCAAAAGCACCACTAATTTTCCACTCACCCAAGATTACAATTTCTGTCTTCTCAACTCCTTTAGCTGGCTCATTATCATTTAATACCATTTGGTTGCAAGTACACTCTAAGTCTCTGTGCTGGACTCTTTTTTTTCTTTTCTCTCTATATTCTCTTTCTTGTCTGTGATGGGGAAGATAACACAGGACTATATAAGTATAGACATAGTGCCTACAAAGTGAATTCAAGGCATTTTGGGGAGACAATATGCATTTGTAAGTGGGGGCAATCAGGAAAGTCTTCATGTAGAAGGTACATAAGCTGAGTTTTGAAAGCAATCAGGGATGGCAAAGGTGAAGGGGTACTTCATTCTAGGCAGGGGGAGCTGCCACTGCAAAGGCACAGAAGTGAGAGGTGGAGTTTTATGTGTGAAGGCCAGCATGATTGGTCTGTGGAGTGTGCAAAGGGGAATAATGTGTAAATACTTTTGAAAGGTTTTGAAGACATTTAAATGCCAAACAGATTTTATATTTGATCCCAGAGGTAATAGGGACCCACTGGAATTTATTGAAGGAAAAGAGGTGTGATATGATCAGATCTATGCTTTAGAAAAATCACCTTAGTAACTAATGGAAGATGAATTGGAGTGGGGAGAGGTTTGAGGCAGGGAGACCACATAGAAGGCTAGTGTAATAATTCAAGTGGGAAGTAATGAGGGTTTGAAATAGGATGGTGACCATGTGAGTGGAGACAATGAGATATATGTGAAAGAGGTAGAGAGTGAAATATGATTTATTAATTGTTTTTATACATAAGGTGAATTCACTTTGTAGGCACTACGTCTATACTTATATAGTCCTGTGTTATCTTCCCCATCACAGACAAGAAAGAGAATATAGAGAGAAAAGAAAAAAAAGGTCCAGCACAGAGACTTCGAGTGTACTTGCAACCAAATGGTATTAAATGATAATGAGCCAGCTAAAGAGACTGAGGAGTGGTCAAACAGGCAGGAGGAGAGCCAGGTGAGAACAGTATTAACAAAATACAGAGGAAAAGGTGTCCAGGAAGACAAAGTGGTCAAAAGTGTCAAATGTTGTAGAAAGATCTCAAGGAAGACAAAGAATGAAAAGAGTTCATTGGCTTTTGTGATTAAAAGACCATTGGTAACTCTAGAGAATGCTGTTTCACTTGAGTGATGGTCAGAACCCAGACGGCAGGGAATTAAGAAGAGAGAGAAGAAGAAGTTGAGATACCAAGTAGACATAGTTTTTTCAAAGACTATGGCTGAAAAGATAGAGAAGAGAAATGGTATGATAGGAGGAGGTAGTATAGTATACACTCATTGTATTGGGGGGTTTTTGTATGTTTTATATATCCTATAAATATTTATATGTGTACATGTTGATAGAAACTTTTTTGCTTTTTTTTTTAATTTGCTGTATCCAGTGCCTAGTATAATCCTGGCCCATAGTAGTTATAAATAAATATTGATTGATTAATTGATTGATTGATTGACCTAGAGGAAGGCCTCGAGCATGTTAGATTTATAATCTATTGAGGATTTATGAAATGACATGGACAAAAATAATACAAATAAGCATAAACGGGCAGTGGTTTGCAACAGTGGAGGGACTGTTTGTATTCTAAGATTATGGATTTATAGCTAGAATGGACTTTCCATTGAAATATATATATATATGTTGCTCTTCCAATGGGCTAGTTTGGCTTGTGAGCACTAGCAGCAGTAGGAGCTAGAAAAGTTTGCTAAAACCAGTTGAAAAAGTGTGAAAGATAGATGCCTAAATGATGGATGCCTCCTCTACTGCTTCTATCCAGTCTTCCGATTAATGTAATCATGTCTGCAGGAAATTGCCATAGCAAACCTGGCAATCTCCTAGCTGACTTCATCACCAGTGGCACAGAAAGAAAAATGTAACATCATTGATCTATCTCCCCTTCTCTATTGCAAAAATCATAACTATTGTGATATTGCTATTAGATTGTAATCTCTTTAAGGATAGAAACTGTGGAAATGAATACCTCCTCCTGTCCTCCCTCGCACCCCATCTTGATGCTTTGCATATAGTAGGGAGACACTCAGAAAAGGTTGAATAGAATTATTATTTCTGACTGTATTTGCCTATAGCCAAATGAACTTCATTGTTTTGTCTCTTCTGCCCCCTGCTACTCTTTACTATATTTATTTTTTTATTTTTATAATTTTAAAAGATTTTTCTTATACATCAGTTCTTTCAAAAGATTTTCATGTCTGCCTTTGCAAGTATTCCTTCATTTCTTTCTTCATATATTTGAAAATGGTTTTTGCAAGACTCTATGGTAATATGTATCTATCTACCCACCAACCCTCCAAGTGCCCAACTTTCTGATGATAAACTCCTCCAAACTTTCCTAGGCTAGTTATTAGCCAATGGACACAGGACTTACAAGAGATTATACTATGCTAAAGTAGAACAAATCTGTGGTTACTATTACATTGTGAGAAGACATTGGAATAAGACTAGTAGAAATAAAGTTGTTCAGCCACTGATCAGAAATGTCTATCATTTTCCCCTTTAGAGTATGAGCTGCTCAAAGGAAAAGATTTCATACACTTTTGAATTTTTTTTTTAAAACATCTCGGCCCCTTACTTTATCATTTAAAGCATTTCAGTCTTCTTGGCAAAGACACTATAGTGGTTTGCAATTTCCTTCTCCAGCTTATTTTACAGATGAGGAAACTGAGGCAAACAGTTAAGTGACTTGCCCAGGATCACACAGCTAGTAAATGTCCAAAGCCAGATTTGAACTCAGAAAGATGAGTCTTCTGACTCCAGACCTAGCACTCTATCCACTGCACTTCTTAGTTGCCTTATTCAATGTTACATATTTATTAAGGATTCAAAACATAATAAGTCCTTAATAAATATATATCATTGGGGCAGCTAGGTGGCACAGTGGCTAGAGCTCCAACCTTGGAGTCAGGAGGACTGAGTTCAAATCTTGCCTCAGACACCTGACATGTACTAGTTGTGTGACCCTGGGCAAGTCACTTAATCCTGATTGCCTCAACAAAAAGCAAAAAAACTAACTAAATAAATAAATAGCATTAAAAGACTAGATGAATTGAGATTATTTTATCAGGAGAAGAGACTATGTAACTGATAGCATAATATCCTAGAA